TTATAAATGTTTGTCGTAGTGTACTTATTTTTACTTAATACCTGCACAATGAGATTTACAACAAAAAGCGTTTTAAAATCAATCGGGTCCAGGACCAATCCAGTATATCTTATCAAAATCCTTCGTAATTAAGTCCATTTTTTATGTACAATGTGTATCATAACTGTTTCTTGTTACGGAATATATTTTTTCAGCATTAATTTTCATATTTTGTTAAGAAATTTGCACTTGCATGTTTGCAGTATAATTGTTGTGTGTGTGTATTTTTAGAATAGAAATCCAGATTTAGTCTGTGTTTCAAATATTAAAGGAGGTGTTTCGGTTATGGTCATGAGACCTAGGCTTATCCTCATCAGGTATCCCTAGTCTATATTTTTCTTTCTTGTAATATTTAGAATGGTTCCAATTTGGTCTCATGACCATAACCGGAACACCTCCTTTAATATTTGAAACACAGACTAAATCTGGATTTCTATTCTAAAAATACACACACACAACAATTATACTGCAAACATGCAAGTGCAAATTTCTTAACAAAATATGAAAATAAATGCTGAAAAAATATATTCCGTAACAAGAAACAGTAATGATACACATTGTACATAAAAAATGGACTTATTTACGAAGGATTTTGATAAGATATACTGGATTGGTCCTGGACCCGATTGATTTTAAAAAGAATACAGGAAGTACTAAACAGGATATGTCAATTAAATTCAAATGACAAGAAATATTAATTACATCAACCGAATGTTGTAAATTCCTAAACTTATACATATAAGTCAGCGGTTCAAATTTGATTCTCACGGGGATTCGACCACCTGGTTATGCGTAAATCGTTTACAAGGATCAAAAAGTAGATATAACACTACAAAAACAGTCACTGATCAAATGCACAGACGAAGTCTAAAATTAAGGAAAAGAATGTCAGACACAAATACAGATTCGGACTCAGAAATGGCTAAAGCATTTAAAGATATACCAAGTGCACAACCTCCAAATATAACTGTAATACCTATAAACTTCGACATGGATAGCTGGGACAATGAAAATGACAATGAAGGTGAAACACTTATTGATAACTGTGTGGAAAAAATTGATAATTTGTTATCTAAAAGGCATCACATATCAACCCTAGTTAGAGACTTAAGAAGATTTCAGAATGATGAACTGCCAGTATATGCAGTACTAAAGGATGCATCCTTTTCACCAATATTTGGCTCTGATGAGGCAAAAACTTTTTTCAGTGGAAAAATAAAACAATTCAACACAGAAATGAGAAGATCATATAGAGAATTCATAACAACTGAATCAAAGATATATGTAGATAGTGTCACAGAGAAAATCAACAAAATTTGGCAAGGAACAACAAAGGAGATAAGAAGCCGAAACAAAGATGGTTCCAAGACGATACTGAGTAAAAACTTAACGAGAGGATTAGACAGTTAAAAGAAGAATGGGCAGAAAAATACAGGAGAGCAAGTTATGAACCAGTACGTGGAAGTAAAGAAAAAATGAAAGATGTCAAGAAAGAAGCAGAAGAAGAAATAACAAGACCAAGAAAACAGCAAGAACAAACGCAAAGTGACAGGGAGGTGCAGAGATTAAAAAGAGAATTGGATGACTTAAAAAACATGGTCGAAGGAAACATATCTAGGAGGAGAGGTCGCAGAGGAAGAGATTATAATAGAGGAGGTTATTATTCATCCAGATATTAACGGAAAAAACATTTGGAAGAAGGAAAAGAACACCATACTGTAGTGATTGGATTATTATTATTATATATATTTAGATTATATAAAATCACATACAGGTCTGTCTATCTTTGTTCTTTTTCATTCATAATAATAATGTTAAAATTACACAATTGGTCCAGCGATAAATATAACAGGACATTAATGAGTTTCAAATATAAAAGAAACAAAAATCTCAATTTGCAAGAAAAATAACCTTAATTTTCTTATTGGTGTATCTATCTCAAATAAATAACTAAATAACAAATAAACGAGGAAATGAATTCAAACTCATACGGAAAAAGAATTTGTTCATACAAATTATTACTAAATTATTATTATTATTATTATTATTATTATTATTATTATCATATCATCAATCATGATATAAATTTAATATATACTACAACTTATCAAAAGAATTTAAAAAAAAAAAACTTATCAAAATGGCACAAGAGGATTACACGAATAAAGCATACAGCGTTCTAGTCTCTGTCAAATAATAAACAAATGTAAAATAATGATGGACCATAACTAGTCAAGCTATAATGCTTTAATTGACCAGCAAAGAAAACGATTATTTTAATAGAAATATGATATATGATATATATATATATATACAAAGTATAAAATGGGCTTGTCTGTTTATTTGCATTGATAATATCGATTCAGAAGAAAATGATACTTTATTATGTGTATCTATTACGGCAGACACTCCTGATTTATTTTTAGACATTGTAAACAACCCCTGATTGATTTAGGTTAGGCGATGTCAAACATACACGTGCATGTATCTGTGACGTATATAGAATTAACCAATCAGCATGCGAGATCTTGTAATCACGTGGAGGTAAATAGATAGAAATATTTGACTGATAAAATACACACGCTTATCTATTACACTTTGCAGGATCTATCTTAACGCTATAACATAGAAGGGGGAAAACTGTTTTATATCTTATTGGAATAACAATCATCTCTCAAACAGAGACTGATAGTACAAGATATTGTCAAAAAGAATATCACCATATAGTACTCTCTCAAATAGAGACTACTAAAATATATTATACTCAAGAAGGATAGCAAAAATAAAGTAATCTCTCAAATAGAGACTGCTTATCTCAGTTGTTCTCAAATAGAATAACAAATTAAGATACATAATTTCTCAAATAGAGTACTAAATTCATAAGCAATGAAGAAACAAAAAAGAGGCTTTAAAAAGGAAAACAAAACAAAAAAATATTTGAGTAAATTACATACTCATAATAGAAGGAGAAAACAGTTTATAAAGAACAATCAACACAATGCAAAAATTGAGAAAGCGTTAAATTATATAGACATATTTACTCAAGAAAACCTAACCAATGATGAAATACTTGTTTTAGCAAAAGGTTTAAAATTTATTCCTAAACCTGGAAATAAAAATGCGAAACAAAAACTATTACAGGATTTCGACGAAATGTCCAGGAAGATGAGATGTAAATGTCTATTTGAAGATATTACCAATACATATACATACCACCCATTCAGGAGAAAATCGGGATATAAACCGAAACATGCAAATAATACAATTGAAAATTATCTATTTGCGACAAAACTGGAACTCAGCAAATTGAAAATTAACAAAATTAGAGACAATCTAAGTAAAAAGAAAAGAATAGTTTTAAACAATTTACGAGCGAAAAAAAATATTATAATCAAAAAAGCTGGTAAGAACTCATCCACAGTCGTTCTTGATAAGAAATTATACATTAAACAGGCAATGGTTATACTCAATAACAACATACATTATGAACAAATCCAGGAGTGTCATACAGAAGATATTTCAGAAACTACATGATAATAATTACCTTGATAACACTACATATGAGTATTTAACAAGATACGAAAATAAAAGACTAGGAAGATTATATATACTACCAAAGATACACAAATTAAATCAAACTGATCGAGACAAAATAAAAGCAAACAGTGAACACTTAAATGAAGTTCAAATCCCTGGCAGACCAATTGTATCGTTATGCAACAGTCTATTTTCTCAAACCAGTTGTAAGCACACTTTGGACATATACAAAGGACACGACCGCTTTTATCAACAAAATTGAAAGTGTAAGAGTACCTAAAAATATCATATTATGCAGTTTTGATATTTCGAGTATGTACAATTCACTCACACACAAACAAATAATTAAAGCGGTCAATAGAGCATGGTCAAAAATGCTCAAAATTAAATATGAGAAATACTCGAGCTGTTGAATTACGTACTAACAAATAATGAATTTGAATTTAATGATTGATTGATTGTTGGTTGCTTAACGTCCAGTGGCAAATGTTTCATGCATATTCAGGACGAGAACAAATTAACAATAAATACAATAGGTAGGTTCTGTAATAGAGGCGTCTGGGACTGAGGTCGGAGAAATTTAGACTGCCACGGGAAATGAGGGTATATTGGATAGGGACAGAAATTTAGCCTTGCAACAGGTCACCTACGGACCCCTCAAAGAGTTGTTGCAAGGGTTCTTAACGTGCAAAGAGCGTGGCACTCTCTTTACACGAGGCATCGGATTTATCGTCCCCATTCTGACCGGACGTGGCTGCAAATTTGTACATCCCGCACAGCCAAACGGACGCCCCACTTTAGCACGGGTTTTACTGCCGGTCGGAGGAAGACCAATGGTGACCATACTTCTATTCCCCAGTCACCCTTGGGGGGTGAATTTAATGACAAAATATTCAAACAGAGATGTGGGATTCCTATGGGAAACCCAATGAGTCCTAGTTAAGCTGGTATTAGATTGATTGATTGTTGGTTGCTTAACGTCCAGTGGCAAATATTTCATGCATATTCAGGACGAGAACAAATTCACAATAAATACAATAGGTAGGTTCTGTAATAGATTAAGGGATTATGGTCGGAGAAATTTAGACTGCCACGGGAAATGAGGGTATATTGGATAGGGACAGAAATTTAGCCTGGCAACAGGTCACCTAGGGACCCCTCAAAGAGTTGTTGCAAGGGTTCTTAACGTGCAAAGAGCGTGGCACTCTCTTTACACGAGGCATCAGATTTAACGTCCCCATTCTGACCGGACGTGGCTGCAAATTTGTACATCCCGCACGCACAAGGATAATAGTTACGCTGAACGGTGCCCACTGGTCACCCTATAAATAGTGCTCTTGTGTGTAGTAATATTGTAGTTCTAACACATGTCTAAAAATAGAAAGCTTAAAATAGACAATTCATCTTCCTATTTAGCTATACACCATAGAGCCTGTCACCGTCTGTATTATCTGTAAGTAAAATTAACATACCGAGCAATTGAATACAATGAATAACACAAACTTAAGCATATTAAGTTTAATTAAGTCATTCAACGCAAAATAATTGTTTCATCCATTTTGCATGATTTGTCATTTGTGATGACACGTTTTTTTTAAATGTTCGAATCACAGACTAGAAGGATATATTCACCCTAAGACTCTAAGTAGAAGTAGATATAAAAAAAAATTCACAAAATAAATAATTCACTAAGGCCGTGTTCACACCAAACGTCGTGTACAGTAAACATGTTTACATTTGGTTTAATGTAATGTACGCTAGTTTCACATTAAATTTGTTCACATCTATACACCTTGTTTAGTTACATGTACATAAGATTTGTTCACACTCGTAAACTATATGTCATTTAAATGTTCATTACGTAGAACCGAATTCAAATTTTCGAACAACTTTTCTACAGTTAATAAACGACCACTTGACTTTAAAAAAAGGGGGGGGGGGGGGGGGGGTTGGGTTGGATTTTTCCACAATTAGATTTTTTTAAAAAATTGAGACATTCAGACAATTATAGAATGAACAAATATTCTGAATCAAACGTTTTCCCATACATTATAGTGTTAAACATGTTAAATATTATATAAATTGGTACCATCGAAAAAAAACTAATTATAAACTTTCGCGCGAGAACTCAGAACCCCTCTCCCTTTTTTTTGAAGTAAAGTGGTTGCTCCTTTAAGAAAGTCATTTTGGATGATTTGCAGTAGTTTAAAGATGTCTCGATTACGCATTAAAAACGTAGGATTGCCATTAGCGTGCTTACAGACGAAGAAAAAGAATCGCTATGTTAAGGATCACTACATTTCTATCTCTTCTGTTTGTTTCAAGTGCTATTTTTTTTTTATCCAAGGAGTATTTGTCAAAGGGAGGGGAGAATGTTTTTTTCATTATTTCTAATAGTATTTTAACGAGTCTCAGATACTACACAAACAAACAATTAACCTCCCCCTTTTTCAGTAATGCATTTATAAGTGAATCGCTGTTTGAGTATAAAGACCAGTGGCAAATATTTCTGTCAGTGTGTACGTCTGATCGATTCAGGAAGACCTTTTCAAATGAACTATGTGTTCGGCAAAGATGATAGATGAGTCTTGATTAAATCTTCATGTAAACATTAAGTTTTATCAATGGGAACGCAATTATGTTTAGTTAATGTGTGAGTTACACTAACACAACACCGAGTTTAAGTCAATGTGAACACGGCCTAATCTTATACATGTAGTTGATGATATTGATAATGATAAGATAACTTAAGCAATGGATGAACTGTATTTTAATATTTTTTAAGGATAATGTTAGCTGTCATAAAAGAAAGAAGTAAAGGTAAGTTTTTAAATCAATTCTATATTTATCTTCAAGAAGAAAGGAAATGCTATTGATCTAGTGCCACCTTACAAACGGAAGACAAAAGTTACACAATACAAAGTTAGGGATTTACCTACTTTAGAGGTTTGATCAAGAGTACCAGAAGGTTCCATATTATGACATTTACTTTTAATAATATTTTTCAATGATTTATCCCTTGAGCTTGAGAAGGTTTCTTCTGATTTATGCTGATCTTACAGTTTTATTTGTCAACTCAACCAGTAACATATTTATATGTATTTATGAATGTAGACATTTGTAATGTTGTTAGCTATATATAGTTGGTGTAATTATATTAAAATGCCATTGAACAGTATTAAGAGTAAGGTCACATTCTAATCGACTTAATCCTTTTAATTCAGGATTTAATATTTATATAATAGTTGGACCGCTCACAGGACAGTGGTATTGACTAAGGTAGCGATAATGACGCGAAGGCGAGGTCATTATCGCTGTCATAGTCAATATTACTGTCCTACGGGCAGTCCATGTATCACGATAATGACCAGTTTTTTTTGAAGAACTATTATGTTTATTTCATTGAGGAACTATGTTTTGAAAATTTTCATTAATTCAAAATGCCTAAAGCGAACTCGAGTAGTTGACGTACGATTTGTATGGCAGAGAGTGAAGACCAGTTGTAGGAATACTCCCATTCATTTTAGTGCAATTTTTTAGTATATAAATACTTAATCAAGTTCTCTTTAATTTTATTATTAACAAAAACAAATAATAAACAATTCAACAAATTAAATATAATATTAAAGAAAGGAACATGTTTTAAAAATGGATAAATCTCTCTAAACAGAGAAACCACGCCCCATTGGTCATTAACAGAGAAACCACGCCCCAACGGTCATTTACAGAGAAACCACGCCTCAACGGTCATTATCAGACGGAAACCACGCCCACCTGTCATTCTCATGTAAAAGTTCGTTAACGACCAGTTTTCTGGTCCGTTTTGTTCTGTTAATGAAGGATGGAATTTATTACTGAAAAATAATGAATGTCATATTACCCCTTTTTATCCAATAAGAGAATCTTATTCTGAACCGATATGAAATAAATGAAATTACAATTAAATTTCAAAGTAGACGTAAACCATAACATAAAATTGCCAGGAATCCAAAAAAATAAAGAGGGAGGGCCAATTTGCCGGAGATTTGTTTCATTCGATAAGATAGGTAAATAATGTTTTAAATAGCCCGATAGATGCTAATTATAGTACAAGAAAATACGTCACATTATTTATTTTCATACCTTGAACAGGTATTCCTACAAAAACAAGGCCAAGACTATTGTTTTTTTAATATTGATTTTATTTTATTATTAACATCCTTTATGCGAGGTGCCATACCATGTAAATTGTCAAGGAGCCAAATAATATCGAACTAATTCAAATCGTGATTTTCTCATTCTGAATATGTATATCTGTATTTGTCCTGGTCTTTTAAGGTTTTATCGTCTATAAGATAAGACAAGAAAATACATGTACATGTATATAAAATTAAAACCGGAGAACATCTTACATCAGTTGGTCATAGATCACCCTGTGTTACTACTTCATGTTTTATTGCCTTTTCTGTAATTTTAACAAATCGGCCCTTCGTTGTGATACAGATGCAACAGCTTCTTGATGTTTTACCTACAATCGCGATTTGTAGTGTAATTGATTTGTTCTGTTATGTTGTTTTATTTTTCTGATGAGTTAGGTACCCGTGTATAGAAGGTAGTAAAAATTTCAGTACTAGTATCTTTACAGTTTGTGATTTGGCGACAAAATTGTTGTTGACTGCATTTGTTACATATAATACCATGTTCAAAAAAGGTTTCGACGAATTGTTTTTTGTTGTTATGAAACTTGTATACAATGGCCTTATTCTAAGTTATGTGTATATTACACCCGCAACATGTAGGCTTAATTTCTATAGAATTAATTCTCGTGTTATTGGTTATGTACAGGCACCTACATCAATTTGACGGCAGTTGTCCCTTGGATATACGTAATAATGTAAACACATGAATAGAAAGTAATTCAAGAGTATGGACAGTCATAGGATTGCACACAATAAGCGATACATTTTTTTCTTTGATACACGTAAAATTATATACTAGTAAACTAACTGAATAGTCAAAATGAACCAGAATGACTCTATGAGTCAAGCAAACATCCGAAAAAATATGATAGAAACTTTAAAATTTAATATAACAACACAAAAAAATGCAAAAGTTCTGAGCGAGGTTCGAACCCTTTCTTCAAATTCATCATTTATTAGTAGTTCTGTGCTCTAATGGTGGAGCTACGGCGATTCTGATCATTATGACTCTTATTTAGAAGGTATATCGGTACAATTTATCGATGTTACAATTTTTTCTTTAAAAAGTTGTTTTTTATGTAATAAGGACACACTAAACCAATTTCATTTTTGAAGTAAAAAGTAGTATGAATAACAACAGTCATAAAAAGCATAACTTTTTTTTGGTTTGAAATGTCCTTCTTGGGGGATTCCCTGTTTTTTCCACATAAAAACACCCGAAAATCCGGATATTGGATTTTCATCATTTTTTAGGGTTAAATTAACTATTGATCACACATATCATACTATATGTAAATCGAGATATTGATCAAAAAGCATTTTTATTTTTTGTTTTTATAGTAAATTTTATTCTGTCGGCACTTTTTGAAATTGGCCCTTCTGTGAAAAAAAATCCTCGGCATATTGGCCCTACCTCTTTCTTTCGTTGGAAAATTAAAATTACCAAACTCTGTGCAGTAATTGTGTGCATACTAAAATCATATCTTCCAGATTAAACAATGGTTACCTTTGGTCACCCTTCATATATATTGAAACTGGTTACTTCCTAACGCCATACACGTGACAGATATTGTCTTTCGTTTGCTGTCGGCAGTTTACATAGATATAGATTTTGATTAAAGATTACATCTGGTCGCCATAGAGATTTATTGACTGGTGCCCTCTGGTCACCTTTCACATATTTTAACTTTGGTTACCTCTGGTCACCTAACACAGATATTAACTTCGGTTATCTCTGGTCACCCTACTCATATATTGACTTAGGTTGCCTCTGGTCACCCTTCACATAAAATGACTTTATAACCTCTTTTCCTACTAAGTTATTGACCTGAGTTACCCCCGCACAATTATCAAACTTGTTAACTTGTAGGCAGTTCACACATATACAGATTTGGGTTACATTTGTCCCCTACAGATTTATGGACTGGTGCCCTCTGGTCACCCCTTCCCATTTATTGACTTTCTCTACATTTGGTCACCTTACATAGTAATTGACTTTTGTAACCTGTGGTCATCTTATACATATATTGATTTATGTTAACTTTAGTCAGGTGACAAAGTTATGAACTTTGGCTAGCTCTGCGACATTTAAACAGATATATATTCTTTGATTAAATCTGGTCACCCTACGCATATTGTCTTAGTTAACATTCGCTTACCTTACAAATATATTGACTGGTTACATCTTGTCGCCCTTCACTGATAGTGACTTTGGTTGACCTCTGGTCACCCTACATAGTTTCTGACTTACTCTGCTAACCCTACACATATGTTGATATTAATTACCTCATGTCATTCTGTAACTTGTAAACCTTTATTACCTCTTTGCAATTTAAACGGTTATAGACTTAAATAATATGGCACCTATTGTTTATATAATATTGACTGCGGCTACTTCTGGTCACCCTACCCAAATATTGTGATCTTCTGTGCTAAACAAGATTGCACTTCTGTTTTCGTAGAATTCCAAAATTTAAAAGAAACTTAATTGATGTCATTTGTTTCAGGTATTATTATTTGTATTACTTTGATTGTTAAAAATGATTATTTATTTAAAGCATTTTTGGAAACTATATGGGATTCATGGAAAGGAAATGCTGACGAAAAGTTTGGTACGGTGTATGGGAATGTTCTTTACGTATCGGATTTAATGAGCTTAAAAATTGAGGAGGAGTTGAATGATCAGGTAACAGTACTAATGGTTTAATTTATGTAATAAAGGTTAAACGTTTTCAAAGATCTTGAACTCTCCTCTGAAACTACTGAACCAATTCCAACCAAACGTAAGCTTAATCATCCTTAGGGTATCTAAAATAAAATTAAATCTGACATTGGTGAAAAGGTTCATTAGGTAAAGCATTTTCAGACAAATAAAACTACCCATTGTTTGGTTGATGCCACTAAATTGCTAATTTTTGTGACCCCTTAAAGAGTTACTGGCCTGTAAGTAATTGTGTTTTCTTTTATGCCAAGAAATATAGTCACTATGGCTTAATAGCATATTGGTTTAAAATGCATTGTTTTGCCATTGAAGAAAATATGACAGATACCAAAAAAAATTAAATACCAATTTGACAATGTAAGCACAACTTTATTTCCATTGAAAAGCAGAAATAATCATTGATGAAAGATTTAACAACAAAAAAAATGCAGGTAAGTCATTCAGGTTTTTGGAGGTCTTTTGATTTTATTTAGTTCTATAAAATGTACAAGGATTTTTTAAAATAATCTGTCTTAAACTGATAACATAATCATGGTACTTTATGTTATGTGTTATCTTGATCAAACTTGTATGTCTTCACCTTTGTGATATTTAGTTTTGTTGATGGTTTCCTTTGTATCATACTGATTGAAAAGATCTGACCTTATCATTTTCTTTTTTTTTTCAGATAATTAATCTTTATTGTAGTGTACTGCAAAAACGGACGGATCAGTGTGTACAGGTAAACGAATTAAAAGTATTTATTTAATAACCGTTTTATCATATTTCAGTGCATTTATTTTAGAGTTGACTGATTTTTTCATCGGCTACTTTAAAGCATGCTTATTTTTTTGTAACTTCCAGGATCAATTCATTTAATTTCGCTTTTTCTACATGATCCATTCCTCCATTAAGGGTATCTGAATTATCATTCTAAACTTGTTTTATGCATTTTTTATTCATTTCCAATTTCACCAAAGTAAACTGTGTATTGTAAAAGTTACTTTCGCACCCACCACCCTTTTTGCAGAGAATGAAATATTTGTTCCACTAAATCATCTTTTTTTTTTCCCTTTTATATAATTTAAGGTCTTTCTACCTTTCGGTTGAAAGACTTTTAGCTTTACTTAAGGATTATAATTATTATCATTATTTTGATATTATTATTTATATTTTGTTCGCCTTTTTTAAGTTGAGCTATTATTTTTAACAGATGTAGCTTTGACTTTGTTTTATATGATATCGTACAGCTTATGAGCTTTCGCCATTGCCCTAACGAAGACTTTTTACTCTCATTAATAGAGTTACCTCCCCAATCTCGATTTTGCGTGTAGATACATCTACTGCGATATTTTATTAGTTTACTCAATTACTCGTTACACCCTTATGATGTCATATATTATTTAACCGAAGCTATCTGGATATTCCTTATAAGAGTTATATCCCATTTGGAATTGTCGTTAAGGAAATATATGCACAACTCATTAACTATGAGAAAAATGAATTTACTTTTATTCCTCGTATTTGTGATGGGTAATTTCATACTGACTTTGAAGAAGTATTGAACCAGGCAAGAAAAACCTTATATAATTTCACGTTCCGATGTAATAGAAACAGTTAAATAAATCCAATGTTCTTGTCACACAATTTGTTTTATACATATTTCCGTTTTCCAGAAAGTGTCCCGTGCAGATTGTCTGATTCTGACCTCAATTTTTGAAGGGAGGAAAAGCGTAACTTGGTTTAAAAAGGTATAATACTATATAATCATCTGTTATAAACTCTTTTTATATAAGTGCTTTTGATTTACACATAGATTACTCTTTTTACAGCTAAAAGCTGGATATTACCAATTCGCCTTTCACGTTTTAACAAAATAATAAGACATTCTAACATATTGATGATATATGTAAATTATCAAATGATAAATAATAAAACAATATGCTAAATATTGTATTCTGTATGGTATTATATTGCTGTTTATAAAATGTATTTAATGTTTCATCGGTCTTTTTTTTATCAGTTTGCAAGTTAATAATAACATTTTACAATACTTTTTTAGGACGATATACAACAGTATGACACTGTCATTGGGTGCATTAATGACGGGAAGTGTCATTGGGTTGCTGTGGTAGGTTTATTTGCTCAATTAATGTTATTAATTACACTATTCAGGCATTTTTCCATGAGGTTATAAGTTAATAGAAAAATGAGTTGCAAGAACAGCATTTCAGACATTTCGTTGAGTTTTTAGTCATGTTAGTTGTTCTTCTATAACTTAATTCAACTTACTTGACTTAATATATATATTTTCTCATACATTTTTCCAACTGATTTTGCACTCATTTATATGAAAGCATTTATACTGCATGGAAATGATAGTTAGAAAAGAAATATCAGATATAAAATATTGGCTTCTTCGTATAGAATATTATCAAATATTTGCTTCTGAACATTGAGCAACAACCAGTAATTAAGCAAAATATTTATTTTTTTATAAATGTTAATGTAAACAGATTTAAGGATGTGAAATTAAAAAGAGAGAATAATTTTTGTTTCAGGTTATGGATGTCCAACACCATATTGTGACAATTATGGACCCGCTCAAAATATCAAAGAAATTGAGAACATATGAAAAGAATTTTAAGTAAGATTGAAACTGTAGTTACATGACAGTCGTTTATTGCTTTAATGCATGTGATTTGTTTCAAAGTAAATTTTTATTTCTGTGTTTGATATATATACTTAAAAAAAAGTTTATAATTCTGAAATTTTCAGAAGTGAGTCACAAGTTATAAAGACAAATCTAGAAAAAATATAATTTGTTAATCTAAAATGAAAATTACTTCTGGTTGATACTGGAATTGAACTATAATTGTATTATTGATTGCACAGCTTTGTAAATTGAATATAGCAGTAAGAACTGAAGACCAGTTATTTTTTTCCAAACGTTGTTGATATCAACTTTAAAACAGCTGCAATTATTTTTTTTCCTACATTAGAAAGGTTGGTCAAATGAACGGTTTTCTATGGAATGTGCAATATCTCCTTAAGTATAAACATCTAGCTAGACATGTAAGTTCTATGATACAGTCCGGGGTAAGGCAATGGCTGGCATTATGGCTATAGCCAGCTTGACTTTTTAATATATATCAATTTTAAGTAACACATTTTTCTTTTCATATTATATTATGTAGCTACTTCACTAAAAGCAGAGATCTTGGTACATGGACAATCTGTACAGCAGTTGGGTATCCTCTGCAAAATGATTTTAGCTCATGTGGTGTTTATTGTTTGAAGGTACATAAAACATTGGGCTTTGCATGACACAATATCACACACCTATACCCCCCCTCCAAAAAAAAAAAATTTGACCCCCAAAAAATTACCCTCATTTCAAGTAAAAGAGCCCTAAATTTTCATAAAAAAAAAAGCAAAAAAAAACGCAAAAACACCAAAATTTTCTTACTCCCAAAAAATTTTTTTTTTTACTTTGGAAAAAAACGTTATTAAAAACACCCAAAAAACAACAAAAAAATTCCAAAAAAAAAAATAAATAAAAAAACCGGGAGAACAGGCGAAGAAAGAATTCTGTGGGATTTAAGAGAAAAAAAAAAAAATCAATTTTTACTTTAAAAAATGAAACAACCTACAGCTCCTGATTTATATCCATAATTACCTATAGAAGATGGACAAAATTATAGACTACAAAAAATAACAGAAATAGAAAAAACATTAATAAATGAGAGAGATAAACGTAAATCACTATACAAAAAATATAAACGCGGAGTTAATGTTACTGATGGTGTTGATACAAGTTTAATTTCGACATCTGTTGTTTTAGCTGGTATAGGAATAGCTTTTCCTATCTTACTTCCCATACAAATTGCAGCTGTTGTATGTGGAAGTTTAGGAGGTCTAGTTAAATTAATTAGAAGAAAGTTGACAACAAAATCAAAAAAACATTATGAAATTAAAACAATGGCAGAATGCAAGTTAAACAGCATAAAAGATTTAATATCAAAATCTTTAACTGACGGACAGATAAGTGTAGATGAATTTAAACTTATTTTAGATGAATTAGAAAAATTTAATGAGATGAAAAAAAAAAAAAAAAGTAATTTTAAAAAGTTTACCAGATGATGAAAGAAAAAAACTAATTGAGGAAACAGAAAATAGAGTAAAAAACGAATTAAAAAAAAAAATGGAAAATCTTTGATTTTCTTTAATAAAATAATTTTAGTTGATAACGGAAATCCACCAAACTATGAATCAATTTTTAATTAAATAAATGGATGAAGAAACAAAAGAAAAATTAGTAAAAAATGTAAAAATAATGTTAAATAAAAAATTTAATTATTTTTATCTTAAGTTGTTTTTAACAGGTTCTTTTTATTGTTTATTATCTAATATTTTAGATGAATAAAATGGCTGAAGGAGGTTATGAGTTTGATAATCCTGAGTTTAAAAATAATGATTATGATGATGATTATGAAGAAGAAGAAACGTCTTTTCAAGATGATGAAGAGTTTCAAAATAATATAAATAAGGAATTTGAAATATCAAGAGATTTATCAGAAAATGATGTTAAAATTCGTAAAAAAGAAACTACAAAAAAAATGATTAAACAATTTTATAAAAAAAATGGTGAAACTATACGTAATGAAGAGGTTTTTTTTGTTGGGGAAAATCATAAGGGAAGACAAATCTTATATGTAAAAGATGAAAAAGGTAATGATATTGCATTAACATATTACCAAAAAGGAGTATTAAAGTTTTATAAATTTAGCACTCTTCAAAGAGAATACGGTGTTAATTTTGTCAGGGATGTTTTAGGTGTAGATGATTATAAAATATCTGATAATTTAAGAGAAGGTAGAGCAGGGTTTCAGAGAATGTTAAATGAACTCGATAATATAGAAATTCCATTACAAGAAATATCTACACAAGAAGAAGGACAAGAATTATTAGAAACAGCAAGTAATGCAGAAACATATGTGAAAGAAATAGAAACTTCATTTATTGAACAAGGAACATCTTTAATAAATGAAGAAACACAAACAAAAATGACAAAAAGAGAGATGGATGGTATAATAAAAGCATTTACAACAGCGGAAGATGAGATTGCAAATAATTTAGCAAAACTGAATGAAACAAATAAAGACTTAGCAAAAGAAAATGCCAAATTAGAACAAGCTAAAGAAGACAATAATAAATTTCAAATAGATAGAATAAGTAGTCGAATAAGAGAGTTGGAATCTGAGAGAAGTGCAAGACTAGAAGTAATTAATATTAATAAAGAAAAACTACGTAGTCAAGTAAACAGATTTAAACAAACAATACATAAAATGTTAAACGAAGACAAAACATTAGGTGAAAGAATAAGAACATTATTCAGAGAACAAGGAATAACAATAGTTAGTGTTTTAACTGCTTTTGGAATGATTATTGGTGTTATTGTTGAAGCATTTACTGGTGGAACTACTTCTCCTTCTCCTTCTCCTCCATCAAAAGGTGGTGGTGTACAAGACTGGATAAAAAAACAATTAAAAAATCTTGGAAAATTATTATCTTTTCTTGCAGGAAAATTAGCAGCTGCATTACCAGGTATTATAGGTTCTATTGTTTCTTGGTTATTGTCTGCAACAAAAGACGTAGTAAATTGGTTTGCAAACAACTTATGGGCATTGCTTATTTTAGTTGTTAGTTTATTGTTTACTGCTGCTAGAGATTATTTGAAAAAATAAAGTGCTGTAAATCCTATTACAATACTTACAAATATTATTGCTTGTTTATTATCTTCTTGATCTTCATGTTCAATTTTTTTTATTGGATCTATTTTTGGTTCTTTAGGCTTTTCAGGTTTTATAGGTTCTTGTGGTTTTACAGGTTCTTTTGGTTTAAAATCAACATGATCAAAATTTTTATTATTTAAATCATCATTTAACCCAAGTGTTTGATTTTCTGTTGCAATTATAATTTTATTATTATAACCAACAATACTTCCAATTTGTAAAACCATATCACTGGGAGACATATATAAACCAAGTCCATAAGCATAATCAACTTTACTTCTTGCATATTTTAAAACATTTTCATAATTCGATATCTGGGTGGGTAAATCGATAGGACTATTTATTACATCTTGTACATTTGCTAAGAATTGTTTTTGTGCATCAAATCCTGTTCCTACTTTTAAAATTTTTGTTTTTGTTTGAGATTGTGCACCTAACAAAGCCCATACATAAATTTTAATACTTTCATTAATACGTTCAATACCTGCTTGTGTAAACCCATTAGAGTTATCTAAAATAAATGTTGTCCAAGCCATACTTATATCTTTTTCATGCTTAATAGTATCATGAGTACTAAAGAAAGGTCCTTTAATTTTATTTCTTTGTCTATATTCTCCACTTGGTTTATAATATTGCTCAAAACTTCCTAATCCTTGACATGATGATTCTAGTTTTTGTCTCCAATTTGTATTTGGAGAAATATTAAATTCATCACATAATTTCTGATATGCAGCTTTGTCATATGGGTTCTTGTAATAACAGAAAGAAGAATCTGTTGGTAAAGGTGATTTAAGTTCTTTTAAAATTCTGGCAATACAATAATATAAATGAAACATATAAAAAGACTTTGTAAGATTTGAAGTATTTTGTATATGATCATTATAAGAAACACCACATCCTGTACTTGCACACCAAACTGCAAAATTTAACTGACATTGCCACCAATCAAATGAAGAATGAATCCAGGCATTCCATGGTTCGTTAGTGTGTATTGATGGGTTTTGATAGTTTTGAAATAAATCAGGAAAAGCTGTTTTAAAGTTCTCTTTTTGATTTACAAATATCGTTTGATTTACAAGATTTGTTTTTAATTGATGATCTTTTTCAGAATATTTAATACCTGGATTATATGAAACATTAGGATTATATTTAAATTCTTTTGTTATCATTTTTTTATATTAAAAATGTTTCATACTATTTCAAATATTGATAATACAATAAACTTAGAACAATACATAAATAACAGAAATGGAAATAAACGTATTGGTTTGAAATTTATAAGATACAGCATAGGTTGGTATAATGTTTATCATGGGTTTATAACAAAAACCGGAGAGGAACAGCAAAGGATTATGAATGGTTATTATAGTTTTCAACAAATAGTGGATGAATTTCAAAAAGAAAATATTGTATTATCCGTAAATGAAGCAAATGGTATCGCTTCATTAAACACTACTACTGAGTTAAGGATAAGTAAGGGTTTGGGAAATATGTTAGGGTTTAATAATAAACGTAAATTCGAACCTAATGAATTACATTATGGAAACAAATTTGTGGATTTTGCTATCCATAAATCATTATATATCCATTTGGAACAAGTTAGCACTTCTCATAATTATCTTGATGGTAAGCCAAGTAAATTATTAGCTGTTATTCCAGTTGAAAATAAAGAGTTTGGTGAAGTTATAACAGCGAGATTTGAGCATCCGGAATATAAGTGTTTAGTAAATGATGTTATAACAGAATTGAAATTAGAAATAAGAGATGAAAATAATAACAAGATAATTAATCATTTACCAATTAATTGTGTTTTAGAAGTTATATAATTTATTTAATAAAATGAGCATACTTGGTGTCAAAAAAAAAAACGTAGAAAAAGAAATATTAAATATGAAGAGTGAGCTTCAAACAATGGATACTAAGGATAAAAATTTACATCGGAGTGTCGCTGCCCTAAGCATCAGAGTTTTAAATGTTGAAAATATAGTTGATAATATTAAAAATAAACCAGACAGAAAAATAATAAGTATATATGCTGGAATTGATGGTCCAATACATGGAAATAAAAAGTTTAATTTTGGTGTTGGTGGTGGTTATTATGTAATGAACTTTCCAGGACAAATATTGGGTATTAGTTTAGTAAGTTTAAGAACAAGCACAGATATTATAGCCATTAAGATGATTGTTAATGATAAGTCAACTAGTTACAAAATGAGTTTGGGTAATGGTGTCACACACGGTTTTAATAACTTTTATACACCTTTTGAAGTTAAGGCTGGAGATTTAATAAGTTTTATTAGTATGACTAATAATTATACATGTATCAATACTCTAGTATCAGTGATAATTGAATTATTTTTATAACAAATTTAATCCTTAAAAATGTCGGCATACGGAAACAAATTAAATCCTTACAGAAAAATAAGAGAACCCCGTGGTGTGAAAGGTATTCGTCAAAGTGTATCAATAACAAATAATCCTTCAACTATTGATCAAAATCAACAGCTATTAGTGAGATTCCCCAATCTAAGCAATAATGATGTTATTGTTCCAGGAACAACCAGATTGGCATTTGAAATAGAACTCACATCTACAGACGACAATGCAACTATATATCAAAACATAGGAAGAACAATAGTTAAAAAAACAACAATTCGTATAAGTGGAAATGAAATTATGTCAATTGATGATAGTGATATTTATCATTGTTATGTTGATTTATGGAAATCTACATCTGAACGTTTAAATATGGCATACCAAGGAATTGGTGAAACAAACATGTTAAAACACAGAGTTGGTGCAGATAATAAAGCATCAGACATAGGTGATGAAGCAATTGCAACTGCATATGGTGCAAGATTTTGTATCCCACTTGATTTTGAACTATTAGAAACTCATATGCCTTTTTATCAAGCAGGTCTTGGTGATAGACTTGAATATGAACTTACATTTAATAATTATAGCAATGTTATTAAATCAACAGATACATCTGCAAGTTATACAATCAAAAACATTTGTTTAGAATTTGATATGGTTACTGATGCAGAATTAGCAAGACAGATAAGACAACAAGTTAATGGTAAGATGGTTATTTTGTACGATAGAATACTAAGACATAGAAAAATAACCAAAAACAAATCTGATACATTGTGGAATATAAATTTAAATGTTCCAGCTAGAAGTATGAAAGGAATTCTAATGTTGTTCGAAGATCCTGAAAGAACAAGTACCGAAACTTATTATAATCCTAACATAACAAAAGTAGAAATGACAATAGAAGGTGTTCCAAATCAACTATACAGTCAAGGAATGAAAGCATATCAACAATGGGATGAAATAAATAAATTCTTTGCTTTAAATTCAAAAAGAAATAAAACAACAGAAGAAGTTTTAAAGGATTTAAATTTATCCTATACAACATTAGAAAAATATCTTACAACTAATTATGCATTATGGTTAGATTTACGTTCAACAGATGACAACTCATTACACGGTTCAGGTAGAAGAATTGAAAATGCTTCTGAAGGTATTACTATCCAAATAACTAAAACAGCAGGAGCAAATAAATTAATAAATGTTTATCTGTTTGTAATCCAGGATGCACAAATTAATTTTGAAGATGGCAGATTTAAAAATGTTGATTACTAGTAATTGCTGCCTTGACGAACAAGTTCTGCAATCTTATTCCTTTCGGTAATCAATTCACTTATTTTTATTTCCAATGTAGTTTTTTCTTCATTCTCGTATGTTCTTTTCGTTGTCAATTTTTTGAGTTTAGTCTTTGCACTAACTTTTTGTCTTGTTAATCTCAACCAAATCCGTCTTTTGTTTTTATCACCAAAATCTTCTTTAGCTTTGTTTATTCTATCGGTCAACAATTCAATTTCCTTTTTTGTACTGTTTATTTCTGTATCTTGTAAATTTATCGTATTATTATGTTTTGCTAACAACGTTTCTAATTTTTCTAATTCATCCGACACTTTAACTAAATTACATCTTCTCAATTCAGATTCCATTTTGAATATGAACATGTCACAATTAGGTAGTTAAGATAGTGTTTACTGCAACTAAGTAAGTGTTTACTGCAACTAAGGAGTTGTTTATTGAAACTAAGTAAGTGTTTACTGCAACTAAGTAAATGTTTACTGCAACTAAGGAGTTGTTTACTGTATCTAAGTAAGTATTTATTGAAACTAAGTAAGTGTTTACTGCAACTAAGGAGTTGTTTACTTTTGTAAAAGTGTAACTAAGTAAGTGTTTACTGCAACTAAGGAGTTAATCAATAATCCAATTACAGAACTGTTGATATTTTTACATTCCATCTATCATTGTATCACTTACAATTTAAAAATTCAGTCATAGTATTGATTATTTGAGTAAAGATAATAAAATGGAGAGAATTATCAATTATCATTTAATTCAATACTAGTTCTCATCTTCTCTTATTAATGTGATAAAATGCTCAATGGGGTGTATTGTTATTCTTTGTGATAATAAGTTAGTAAATATTAAAGTATTGATGTGAAGTGTTGTATTTTATTGAAATAATCATTGCTGTATCATTTGATCCTTGGGATCATTATTATTTAAAATGGATAACTCATTAAAATTGAAAGAAACTTGATATTTTATAGCCTTGATAACATATTAAGCAATTGAGGCATTTAAATTTCTTTTGTTATATAGGTTTTATAAAAGTGTTTCTAAAGTAAGTGTTTAATTCAATAGGATATGACTTTTAAATAAACTAAATCGATCATTGTAAATATTTACAGGTACCTAGAGATTTAAAACTTAGTCATCTGTAATTCTTGTTCATAAAATCCACCTTTAATATCTTCGCCTTTTAAATCAATTATTCTATAAGTAACAGGGTTTGTATTTAAAACTTTTTCAATTACAAATATTTCTTTGGTCCAACGAGTAGTATAACCCTTTTCAAATTTACCTTTCTTTTTTGTTATTCTTACTCTAACACCTACTTTGAATTTAGGTTTTTTAATTTTCTCTTTCTTTTCTGGATATAAATTTTTATACACGGTTAATTCATTTTCTAATTTACTTGCTTTAACAGGTGTCATTTTAATTGAAGAATGTACTGTATTATTATAATTTTTAACTAATTTATCCAATATATCATAATATTTAAAAGTTTCATTAGCAGTAAAGTATTTAAACATATGTTGTTTCATTGTACCTATCCAGCGTTCCACCACGCTGCTCTTTTCCTCATTCTCAGTTGAATATAACTTTATGTTATTATCTTTTAACAATTCTTTTACTTGTCGATTATAAAATTCAGATCCTTTATCCGACCAAATATACATTGGTTTTCTTTCTTTAAATAATGTTTTAAATGCTTCACTCACTGCTACTCCTGTTTTATTTTTCAATGGAATCAACCAACCATATTTACTAAAAACATCTATAACTGCTAATAAATATTTATAGTGTTTATTTTGTTTTGAATATTGTTGTATATCTATCAAATCAACTGCCCATGTTTGATCTATTGAATTAACATAAACACGTCTTTTAGGAAAAGATTTTATAACTCTATGATGTAATTCATCTGCTAATTTATTTGTTAGATTTGTTTTAGACATTTTTAAGTAACTAAAATGTTTTCTTAAAAAATGGAGGCAAAAAAGGATAAAATTTTATCCAAGCGAGAAGATTCATATAAACTTGTTTTGACAAAAGAATATAAACATAAAGCAAGTATTTATGTATTTAATTATAAAATTAGTCTAAAGGATGAAAAACAAGAAACATTTACAAATGCTTTTGACCACATGGTAGACTATTCCATAAAAGATTACCCTAATGGAAGAATTAAAATCGTACCTATTCATGAAATCATAATTACTAAACATAAAAGCTGGCCTATAAGAACATATAATACAGTTAAAAAGTTATTCGTGGATCAAATGGAAAGATTATTAAATAGTGCTGAAGAATTAAATTTAGAAGAAGTTATTTTTGAAGTTACTATTATACCCAATAAAAGAGGAAAAGGTAAAGCTTTAAAAATATTAGATGTCATAAATAAAAGAAGTATTATCAAAATAAAAAATGATGATACAATATGTTTATCAAGGGCAATTGTAACTTTTTTGGCTTCAAATAAGTTATTAAAAGATTTTACAGATTCACAATTAAAACACATTAAAGAGGGTAGACCATTACAAAAAAGAGTTGCTGAAGATTTTCATGAACAATCAGGAGTAGAAATAAAAGAAGAAGGAAATGATTTGGAAGATTTAAAAGCTTTTGAAAATTATTTTAATATTAGGATAATTGTTTTTACATCAAATAGTACAGAATATATTGTATATGGTGGTAATGAAAAATATAATGAACAAATATATTTATATTATCATGATGAACACTTTGACACTATAACAAATATAACAGGATTTTTAGCTAAACGTAGGTTTTGTAAAGTATGTTTAATTGGTTATACTGAACAACATACATGCAAAGATAATACAGTAACAACTATCAGAAAACAACATATTTGTGATAAATGTAACAAAACATATACAGGCAAAAATCACAAATGTGGTGAAAAAATATGTTTAATATGTTATGAAAAATACACGGAAAGTAATGAAGAACACTTATGTTATATGAAACCATCAGTACCAAAACAAGTAAAAAATAATAAATATATATATTTTGATTTTGAAGCAAATCAAGAAACAGGAATACATATAATGAATTTTTGTATAGCTTACGATTTAGAAAATATTTATTGTTTTAAAAATAACTATGTAAAAGTATTTAAATGTGATTTCAATATTGATAATTTAAACTTGTTAGAATTAGACATAGATGATTGTTTTAGTGATGTAGAAAAAATTAAATATGAAACAAATTCTGTAATAGACAACTTTTGTAAATATTTCATAAGAGATAAATTTAAAGACTACACTTTTATTTCACATTATGGAAAAGGTTATGATATGCAACCGATTTTAGGATACATTGTAAAAAACAAAATTGAACATAACATAATTTCTTCTGGACTAAAATTAACAGCTATATTTATTAAAGGAATAAATTTAAGATTCATAGATTCTATAAATTTTACATTATGTGGATTAGCTGCTTTCCCAAAAACATTTGGATTTGTGGGTAACAAAGGTTATTTTCCACATTATTTTAATACAACAGAGAATCAAAAATATGAGGGAATTTATCCTGATAAAAAATATTATGGTTTTGATACTATGACTGCCAAAAATAAAAAAGAATTTGACAAATGGTATGAAACAAAAAAAGATAAAAAATTTGAATTCTATAAAGAAATATTTTATTATTGTCTATTGGATGTTTTAATTCTTGCCAAAGGTTGTACCTTATATAGAAAATTATTTTTAAATATAACCAATAATTGTATCGATCCATTTCAATATATTACAATTGCTCAATGTTGTACAAAAATATTTAAAACATTAATGTTGACAAATGAAACAATTGGAATTCACAAAAAGATGACAATTAAAGAAGTACATTCACAAAAATCAATACAATGGTTAGAGTATATTTCTTTAGAATATAATATAATGATTCAACATGCTAAAAGGGGAGGTGAAAAGAAATTATTCATTAATAATAAATGTTATAAAGTCGATGGTTATTATTATGATAGAGAAAATAAAATGCGTAATGTTTATGAATTTTTTGGATGTTATTGGCATGGATGTACAAAATGTTATAGTCCTGAAGAAATATGTAAAAAAGATAGAAATAAAAAAACTATGAAAGAGTTATATAACCAAACTAAAGAAAGACTTAAAACTATTGAAGATTATCTAAAACCAAATGTAAAAATTCATACAATATGGGAATGTGAGTTTGATCAACAAAAATATCCTGAAGTTGATCCACATTTAAAACCTATTGATAAAAGAGATGCATTTTATGGAGGAAGAACAGAAACTATTCAATTATACAATAATCTTTCTGATTTAAAAGGTAGATATGTAGATTTTTGTTCTCTGTATCCATCAGTAAATAAATATTGTAAATATCCTATAGGACATCCTATTACATCTACAGAAATATCTGTAGATGATTATATAAAAAATAATTATTTCGGAATAATGAAATGTAAAATATTACCACCTAAAGGATTGTATCACCCTGTTTTACCTTATAAACAATTAACTAGTGATAATACACATAAATTACTTTTTGGATTATGTAGAACATGTATGAATAAAATATCTTTTAAATGTAAACACATAGATGATCCTACTTTAAATAAACATGATAAAATACATGAAATAAAAAGATGTAAAGAATGTAAAAATATTAAAAATGAAAAATGTATACATTCTGATGAGGAAAGAGTTATAGTAGGTACATGGTCTACAATAGAAATAGATAAAGCAATAGAAAAAGGTTATGAATTACAAAAAATATATGAACTAGAACATTTTGAAAAAACATCTACAGATATATTTAAACTTTATGTAGATACGTTTATGAAATATAAACAAGAAGCTTCAGGATGTAAATGTGATCCTAAATATTGTAAAAATGATTGTAAAAACGATAAAGAATGTAAAACAAAAATACAATACATTATAGATAATACTGC